AGGGGTGACTAACATTAAATTTAAAATTACTCTGTTACTGCTTAATGAAGGTCAATTCCTCTTACTTTGTGTGTTTTATTACATTTAGTTTCCCAGTTTATTTAATGACACCGCCACAGCGTAGTTGATTGAAGCACTATGCTACAAGCCGGAAGATCGCGGGATCGAAACCCAATGAGGTGGATTTTTTTAGTTTACGTAATCCTTCCAGCCGCACTATGGCCCTGGGATAGACTAAGCCTCTAACAGAAATGAGTACCAGGAATCTTCCTGGGGGTAAAGGGTGGCCGGCGTGTAATTCTGACAACCTCACCTCCATCTGTGAGACGATTATATAGAAATTGTAGGAGCGTGGACGTCTCACAATATTATGGGCCTTCACGGTCTGTTACAGAAATAGCTTTATGTTTTTAAAATTATCTTTTCAACTGTGTTTCTATAAAGCATCGCTTGGAAATGCGGTTTGGTAAGGAAACAGAAGGACTTAGCCGTGACCTATTAAATATATTATGCTGATATTGTCTTGGGGGGGATGAGGAAAACCACATATACGCTAATCAGAGTAGTCAATTTCCGGGCCAAGAATCGAATTTGAGACTTTCCTAACATGAAGTACGAATATTAGCTCTTAGTTCACGACTTCATATGTACTATACGTATTTGTATCCCCTAATGTTCTGCAAATATACGCACAGACGCACTATGGGCGCATTGTAGCCTGACCTCTGCATAATTTTTGCTTTTGTAACCTCCTTGCTCTTTTAATTACTTCATTTTCATCTAATTATGTCCAATCGATTTTATTATCGCTACCAAAAATACATTTTTACTAATTTAAGGATGTGAATTTTTAGACTCTTTTGAGGAAGAAACTAGTGAAATGCTACATTTGGAGCATAGCTCTGTATGGGGCTGAAACATGGACACTTAGGGCAGTAGATCAGAAACATCTGGAAAGGTTTGAAATGTGGTGTTGAAGAAGGATGGAGAAGATCAGTTGGACCGATTATGTGAGAAATGAAGAAGTGTTAATTAGAGTCAGTGAGCAGAGGAATATCCTACACGAAATAAGAAAACGGAAGGCTAATTGGATTGGTCATGTTTTACGCAGAAACTGCCTTCTAAAAGAAGTTATCGAAGGAAAGATAGAGGGGCGGATAGAAGTGACAAGAAGACGAGGAAGAAGACGTAAGAAGATGCTGGATGACCTTTGGGACAGAAGAGGATACTGTCATTTGAAGGAGAAAGCTCTAGATCGCATTAAGTGGAGGAATTGTTTTGAAAGAGACTGTGGTCCTGTCGTCTGACAGATTACTGATGATGATGATGATGATGATGATGATTTAAAGCACATATTAACCAGTGAGTACTGCATATTTATGCGGCTTTGCAACTGGCTCATCATCCGTCCAAGGGGTCCTACCAACTGTCTCAGATAAAGAATTGAAGTGAAACTAAGCGTTTCACAGATGCCCTATGCTCCAAGTGGGAACAACAGGAATAAAAGAAGAAGAAGAAAACTGTATACTTAAATAATGTCGTTAACCTCTAAGTCGTAATATAAATAAGTTTGTTTTGATTTTGAAGTACCCGTAAACAGCAATAGGAAACTGGCTTTGTGGTGGAATTATCCGGGTAATGAATAGCTTTTCAATTGACTTGTCACTTTACTGTTGTGAGAGTGAGACACGTGGTTATCTTGGAAAAATCTTAGAAGTTAAGGACTGAAGACAATAGAATGATATATGTCTTAAAATACTCGCAGTTCTTACCTCTTGAAAGCCGAAGTTCAGTTTAACAAGGACAAGATGGATCGGTAAGAGCTCTACTACCTCCAAATAATATTAAACGTTGTGTCAATTTGAGTAGCAAAGAGAAATTTGACATAAGATAATGTTTATATATATATATAGTATTTTATTTGTGTAAAATTATTCTCTCTCTTATAGAATTTACAGAACAGCGGAACTTTTGCATGAAATATCAGAAGATGTATTATAGAGAATCCTTTTCACTTAGCATTTCAGACGAAAAAGAAACGTCCGTAGAGTTTGAAGAAATTCAGCTACAAGAGACGTAGAAGAGATGTTCCGTTCCCTCCGCCTTCTTCTTCTTCTTTTAGAGTTCTCCCTTTTCATAAATGTTCCTATTTTCATATTAATCGACTGTCAAAATATTGCAGTCACACTCTTTATGTCCTTCCTGTCATCGCTATATATATTTTTTTAATCGGGCTAGAGAGGCCGAAGATAACAATTCAGCTGGTCAGAAATTGTTACATATCTACCAGCAACTCGCAAGGACGTAACATATTCTGACATGTTCGCTGAAAGGCGGACTAGTTTAATCAGAAGAGATGTCTGTTACTAGTGTGTCATAAGGCCTCATGCTTAGAATAAGGGCTCCAGAGAAACAGCCATTGCTAGGCAACGTGAGCAGGTAACGTCAGTACAGCCCGGAAGCTAGATGCTGAAGGAGGCCGCGCCATAGCTCAAGCGGTTAGTCGCTGACTTCCCAGCGCGGCGGCCTGGGTTCAATCCCAGGTCTGGTCAAGTGGGATTTGTGGTGGACAAAGTGGCACTGGGGCGGGTTTTCTCCGAGTACTTCGGTTTCCCTTGCCAATCTTCATTCCACCAAATTCTCCCTCATCATAATTACCCATCTTCAGGCTACAATAGGCCAATCAGTGGCAGCCGTGCCGAGTGGACCCAGTTGGACTCCAACTCCCACTACTTACTTACTTACTCATGGATCTGAGCCCTTCTGCAGAAGGCGCTAATTCTGCAGCTACTCAAGAATTTCCCAGCATTTTATGGAACCCGAAGGTTCATTACCGTGTTCAAAAGAGCCCTCCACTGGTCCCTATCCTGAGCCAGATCTATCCAATCCGTACCATCCCGTCCCATCTCTCTAAGATCTATTTTAATATTGACCACCCACATAAGCCTTGGTCTTTCCAGTGGTCTCTTTCCTTCTGGCTTTCCCACCAATATCCTATACGCATTCCTCGTCTCCCCCATTCGTGTTACATGCCCTGTCCACCTCATCCTCCTTGACCTGATCATTCTGATTATTCTTGGAGAAGAGTACAAGTTATGAAGCTCCTCATTATGCAGTTTTCTCCAACCTCCTGTCACTTCATCTCTCTTCGGTCCAAATATTCTCCTCCCTGTTCTCAAACACCCTCAGTCTGTGTTGCTCCCTTAATGTCAGAGACCAAGTTTCACACCCATACAGAACCACAGGCAAAATTTTAGTTTTGTATATTCTAATTTTTATGCTTTTGGGCATCAGTTGAGAAGACAAAAGCTTCTGGACTGAAAGGTAGCAAGCATTACCCGAGTTCAATCTCCTCTTAATTTCCTCCTGAATCAGGTTTCGATCTGTAATCGTTGCTCCCAAATATCTGAACTGTTCCACACTTTCAAAACATCTCTTTCCTATCTTTATGTCATGATTTTGCCCTCAACCCCCACTAAGCGAATTAAAAAATTAGATGCTGAAGGAAGCAATAGTTGAAGCCAGCGGTCAGATTATGAGGTTGACGTGAAATAGTCGCCACACTGCAAGGACATTAGTCCGGAAGCAGAGGAACGTCTGGCATTAAAAGCCGCTACAAAGCAAAGTGACTGAGGACATTAGTCTGCGTGTTGTAGTAAACTGTGAAGTCACTAACTGTGAAAATGTCCAGTAAATCCAGTTATCAATCTAATACCCGTCTATCTTCACTAGAAAGCGTGATAATACCATATAAATGAAGCTTATCTAAGTGAATAAGAATTTTATTAATAGCAAAATAGAATGACTGAAGTTATATGTGTTTCAAGTGCGATAAGACACAGAAATACAAGCATGGGGTCACTTCCTCACAATCCATCGTAACACAGTATAGAACAGTTATCGGCGTACGCGGACTGTGGATNTGAGGTTTGCGTAGTTATCCTCAGTCTCTCCTACGGATGCTGGGATAAAACCTCGATATGCCACAGTCGATTCCTTCCAAATAATTTTCCCATTCATCTATCATTCTACCATATTCTAGCTGTTGACAGTGTCGCAAAATAACCTTCCAAAAAAGAACTGGAAACTTTACAAATGAGAAAATTGCAAGTTAGTGATCTCGGCATGATTAATAAGAACTTAATGTTGTCTCGGGCATAACTGAATTGTTTTGTTGGCTATAACTTGCTCATGCCTTCTCTGAATGCTCCCATCTGCATGTATACACCAGTGGAAGGGACATGAAATTCATGTGAGAGACATGAAATGCATGCAGAGTTTTAGTGTGCTAGATTCATTATGCTCACCATAAAGTCCTGTGACAACTTCTGTGAACACAGGTTCCATAACAGGAGAGCTTCTTGGCTAGCTGAGCTTCTCAAAACCACCTTGAACTAAATATTTGAAAATGAATATAACTTGCACACAGCAGTTGTCGTGGATACCTCTAAATCTGAGTGTAAAACATTTAGCTACAGAAGTAATGTTGCATGAAGGATCACTCTATTGTAAGGAATGTAACGTGCACCAGTATTCGAACCCATGGCACACACATATGCCATAATTTGTTACGCCTTACCTGTGACTAACCGAGGCACGCGGTAAAGTAGTTGGTTGAGGCTACAAAGTAGAAGGTCGTGGGTTCGAATCACGATGAGGTCATTGGATCCTTCAATTGACCTAATCCTTCTAAGTGCACTATGGTCCTGGGTTCGACTTAGCATGTAACAGAAATGAGTATAAAGAATCTTCCTGTGTGGTAAAGGCGACCGGCGCATAAGGCTGACAAATTTACCGCCATCTGTGAGCCGATTGTCCAGAAAATGTGGGAGCCTCGACGTCTCAGAACCTTATGTGTCTTCACGGGCTGTTACAGGGATAGCTTTACAATTTGTTTAAGTTTCCCATGACTCACCGCGCATGTGCAGTAGATATCCCACTTCACTTCACCGGAAGCGTGACGTGTCCCTGCCTGAGACCTCATGTCCCTGGTGCTTCAGGGTTCCTCCGCACGCATCCAGGGCCGGACCGCGAGGGAGCGACCGGTGGGAACCTTGGCCTACGCGACATCTTGGCGGCGCTGCAGTGGGTGCGCCGAAACGTCGCAGCGTTCGGGGGCGATCCGAACCGAGTGACAGTTCTGGGTCATGACACCGGCGCCGCTCTCGTCAACCTGCTACTGATCTCCAGTGCAGCGAAAGGTAAAATTAGAAGCTTGACGTTCCGGCCGCTTAACCCCTGAAGGAGTATGAGTAAGCATAATACTATGGTACCTCTAACAAATATTGAGGTCACATAATTAACACTCTTTCTTCATATTCTGAAGTCCCAAATTCGAATACTTGCCTGTGGTCCAGTTTTTTCGAGTGAGTTTTGCCTGTGTTACCTCAGGTCGTTGAGGGAGTTCTGAGATGTCACTTTTATTTTAAACGGCTACCTTTTATTACCACTTCCTTTACCATTCATTACTCAAAAACCCCCCTCTACCACTTCACGCTACATAACTTACATAGTTCAAACACCGTCATTATACAAACCAAGAGCCAGTCGATCAGCCATAGTGGTAATCTATTTTGTGTTCTTTGCAAGGCCTTTAAAGAAGAAAGCGTTTAGTGATAGCCATGTTTGCCTTCGAATATAAACTCGGGACTACCCGACGAATTTTGATGAAATTATTTTGAACTTCATGCCAAGACCGCGCCATAGCTCAAATGGTTAGTTGCTCGCTTCCCAACGCGGCGGCCCGGGTTCGATCCCGGGTCTGATCAAGTGGAATTTGTGGTGGACAAAGTGAGTCTGTTGCAGGATTCTTCCGAGTACTTCGGTTTCCCCTGCCAATCTTCATTCTACCAAATTCTCCATTATCATAATCACCCGGGGAGATCAATAGGCCAAACAGAGTGGACCCAGCTGGACTCCACCTCCCACTATGCGAATAAAAATCTTCATGCTATTCGAGGTCACTTAAATTTCATGGTTTTCATTTTCCTACAGTTGGTAGTATGACTGTGGAGGACGCATTAACTTGTTAGGTGGGACCAGCACTGGTGGCACTACCTACATCCGGTAACTGAAAATGGAAGCAGCAGGTTCCCCCCCAAATATTAGTATCTATCTACCAAACTTCATGGCGTCACCTGTTAGAAGGTAGTGTTTTTAATTGTAACGCAGAAAGAGTAGGCATCATGTTAAAGACATACACCGTAATTTGGAATTATCGAGATTTCTGAAAAGTAGGAGAGGGTGGGGAAGGTTGGGGTGTGGAGCAGAGGTAGCAGTCAGTATAGCGACCAACATACTGGGTGGAGAACCCAAAAATATGGGTTCGATTTCAGGCAAGGGTAAGAAACTTCTGTGGTCCCCACAACGGCCACATTTGCTCTTTGGACCATGCACCCTCCTGCTTAAAGTTACCGGAGGTTCTTTCTCCAGGAGTTAAGCGGCAGGAACGCGAAGCAAACCACATTGAGGTTAAGGATGTGTAAAGCTCTACTCCTACTCACGCATGCACATTAATGGTCTGATATTTAATTAAAGACAAAGACAGACGTAGCCTTAGGCTGACCGACACTCGACGACGAATTCAGAATATTAAGTGCAAAAGTCGCCTGTGGACATCACATGTTTTCCGATATGCGTTGCTTCTTGCCGGTATTGTTCTGTAGTGCCTTCCACACGTGCTTTCCTCTTCATACTTATTATCTCCATGGGAAGCTTTTAGTCGTTCAGGAGGTTAAAAATTACATGCCTTTTATAGAATTTGAATTTTCACTACCGTGGCAAAAGTACCCGCCACTTGTTCCTATCTTGAGTCAGAGGAATCCAGTCAATGTCCTTACATCCTGCCCCTTTTGGAAACGCGTTTAATGTTCCCTTGTACGCCCACTTCCTCTGTAGCAGTAGCACTTCTCTAGTGCTCTATGAGCTAATGTGTGCTCTTCTCTCGGAAAGAGAAAATTATATTTTCACATCAGTACAATTGCTGAAATACAATCATATCCATATATAATTATTTCAAGTAGGGCACGAAAAGGCAAAAGTATTAAATTCTACGTTTAATATGCTTTACCAGATCCAGATGTGAATCATTTTATTTCGTCAGCTCCAAAATCATATAGACAACGAAATCAATTATTTCAAACATATATGCCCCCGATATATAAAAATTAATCTCTAGGCTCCTCTTCACTTCAGAGGAATTAATATCATTTTTGACCGGTATATTTTTCATAAAATGATCTGTATTTCAATGAACTGCGGAATTGCTTGTTCCTTATAACCATACCACGCGTTTTAAATACACTCATATTTCGTGCTTGTAACTACTTGTGGGGGCCAAGCAGTAGCTTAGTTGGTTGAGGGGCTATGCTACAAGCCGGAAGGTCGCGGGTTCAAGTCCCGATGAGGTTATTGGATTTTTCTCAATATACCTAATCCTTCCGGCCGCATTATGGCCCTGGGGTAGGCCGCGCCATAGTTCAAGCTGTTAGTCGCTGGCTTCCCACCGCGGCGGACCGGGTTCCATCTCGGGTCTGCTCAAGTGAGATTTGTTGTGGACAAAGAGGCGCTGGAGCAGGTTTTCTCCGAGTACTTCGGTTTCCCCTGCCAATCTTCATTCAACCAATTGCTCCACAATCACCCTCACCTATCATCTTGGGGTGGTACAATAGGCCAGAAGTGGCCGCAGTACAAGGGACTTAGTCCCATCCCACTAGCATTAAAAAGAAATTACCCTGGGGCCGACTAAGCCTCTAACAGAAATGAGTACCAGGAATTAATTAAATCATTTTCCGGGGGAGTAAAGCGCGGCCGGCGCGTAACTGACAACATTACCGCCATCTGTGAGCCGATGGTCTAGATAATGTGGAACCCTCAACATCTCACAACCCTATGGGCCTTCACGGCCTGTTACAGGGAAAGCTTTACTTTTACTACTTCTGAGATTAGTCTTCTATATTCGTCTTTAATGAATTTCATAAAGAATTCGAAGCAGAATTTACACACGATATTTCGTCCATTGAAAGGAACAAACAAGGAATCCTTAAATCTTAGTTTCTCATTATTATCTTCAGCGATCTGATGGCAATTAGTCTGGTAAAAGTATACAGATATTTCGGAGGAATGTACTACTTCCATCTTCAGGGCAGAAGAGCAAGCTATAACCAAGCAGAAAGCAATGTGAGCCCTCCGTTCGTCCATCGGAGTATTAATATTTGGCCATATCCAGCCATACATTGTGTCGTGCCACTAGAAAGCCAGAAGAAATGTCTGAGATCAGAGTTGATTTCCTAGGCAACGACCAACGTTCCCAAGAGACCGGCTAGGAAGCAGTGGAGTTTCCACCGTGACACACGAATTGTTGAAACAACGTTTCGATGGCGGCGAAATCTTCGAGATGGTGTTCCCTATCGATTCCACGTGGAAGTTATGAGTGCAACTGCGAAAAGAGAAGAGTGAAGTTTGTAGCTGACCTTAGATGAGTAATCAGTCTTCAGTTTGACACTAATTGTGATTGTGAATAATTGTATGTACTTGTAAGCATAAAAGTGAGCGTCCAATAAATTTTATTTTATTGTTAGTGGGGTGGGACTAAGTCCCTTGTACTGCGGCCACTTCTGGCCTATTGTACCAACCCCAGATGATAGGTGAGGGTGATTGTGGATCAATTGGTGGAATGAAGATTGGCAGGGGAAACCGAAGTACTCGGAGAAAACCGGCCCCAGCGCCACTTTTTCCACCACAAATCCCACTTGACCAGAAGCGGAATCGAACCCGGGCCGCCGCCGTGGGAAGCCAGCGACTAACCTCTTGACCTATGGCGGGGCTTGGAGTCCAATAAACATAGTAGCCGAACCAGAAACCAGCGTGAATTTTCTTGTCTCGTCACATAGGCAACACGCGACAACTGCTGTTAGAAGTGGGAGGACTGGGGTTCGGGAACAGGCTATTGGACCAAGATCACAAGGAAGCAAGCGCAGCTGCTGCAAGAAGCGATTGGATTAGATTGAAGGAATGGAACAAGCATTGGAAATGCTGAAGTTCATGAGAGAAGACATGAAAGAAAACCAGGTACATTTACATATATACAGGGAGGTTCTTTCCTTTTTTGACCGGTTCACGGCTTTGCGCTTCATGGCGATCAGTGCACTGCTGGCTGCGAGGCGCATACGAATTTTGCCGATGTATTAATATGCATTTTGGCCGATAACTTTCGGAATGAAGTAATTACAATTTGCAGATCACAAGAGGTCTTGAAAATGCTGTCTCTGTTAAATTCGGATGGAGCTCACCTTCGACAACAGACTGTAGAAACTAACTGCAAAAATAAACACTACTACCTCGATCGCGCTGCTGTAAAGCATGGATTACTCTTGTTTCATAGAGTCTAAGCTTCGCTAATTGTGTTGCCGTTCTTGCACAAGACTTTGACACTCCACTCTCTTGAGCTACACGTTTCGGTGATTTTCTAGGTGTATGTTGTAGTCTTACTTCTATGTAAATTAATTTTTCGTCACGAAACACTCAGCGCTTATGTTAATGTTTCTTCTCCTGTTATCTAAGTTTATTTACCAAAGTATGGATTGTTTATCTACTGGGAACTGTTTCGTCACGAAATTTAGGTTGAAATTTTTGTTGACATTTTCTAGCATATCCGTTTTTCACGTAGATATCATACAGGAATACACGTTGCTCTAAATTATACCGCATCATGATGAACACACTGCTTACTAATTGTAACTGAGAGCAAACGGCTAATGAAGGTGATATCCGCCGCCCACTGCTGACAAATCTTAAACAAATTGCCACGAATGAACCGCACTGCTCTCCGTGAAACATGATGCCGTCCAACGGTCCACGAATTTAATAACTTCCCTTAATTCTAAACGTTATCATACGTCAGGTGTACTAATTCATCGGCACAATTCTTATGCACCCATCAGCCGGCGGTGCACCGTTCGCCGTCAAGCGCAGAGCTGTGAACCTCTCATACGTACACAGTTGCAACTCTACTTATAGGATATCTGGCTACTGACATTAGATGCAGATGCTCTGCGTACATTTGTGCAATACGCAAACTGAGATGACTGGCACAGGTGTATAATAAATTGGCGAGACATTGTACTTAAAATTCATTATCAGTGAACTATAGTGAAGTATTGTTTTGGCCCATAAGTCTTTGTTCGTAATGTTTTCTGTGAGGTGCTTCCATTAAGCCAATAGAACGTACAAGGTCAATACCTGATTTCGTGTAAATTTTGCCGGCTTTTATTTTACCCTATCTATGATTTGGTTCGATGTCGAAATTTTGGAGTGATGGTGGTCTCGAGTTATAGTTGCGCGCGGTGCATTTCATATTTTTCTCATAACTCTCTTCTGTAATGTTTGTAGCATGTGGAGGGAGCTGCAGTATACTTGCAACTATGCCGGACAGACATAAGCTATGATTGACAGAACGAGAGCTCATGCAACATAAGTTTAGGGTTTGCAGACAGTCAGACAGTTGCTCGCTGTTGAAAAGGGGATATAGACGAAGGTACATCCTTAGGGCCTCGACATGTACAATATCCTTACGGATTTTGGATGTAAGTTGCTTATCCGGCTACCGGTATAGCAGATTCTAAGACCATGAAAGGTATATCGAAACTTGAACGCTCTCAGTCTTTTGAAGCATAAATCACCTGCTTTTTTCTTTGATGTTGATGCTATATTTCCAGCTTCAAGTATGCTCTATGTATAAAGGGTGGGCCTTCTTGGCCCTTGCACCACGACCACAGTGATCTATTGTACCTTAGTATGAATTATGGTCGGCGTTCACTGCAGATGCAACACCACTCTGTATATTTGCATATAAAGAGACTAAGGAAGTATTATCCGCATATAATGCAGCCAATCCTCATGTGTGTTGCGATATCTTTTATGTTTAGTTTGGTTTAGTTTAATTTACTAAGTTGAATTAGATTAAAAGCATAGAACTGAGGCCAAATAACGTCACGATTCAACGGCACACAGGTTCAGTATGTACAGATATACAGACCAGAGTACATACAGATATACAGACTACAGTACATACAGATATACAGACTACAGTACATACAGATATACAGACTACAGTACATACAGATATACAGACTAGAGTACATACAGATATACAGACTACAGTACATACAGATATACAGACTACAGCACATACAGATATACAGACTACAGCACATACAGATATACAGACAAATAATACGTAAAACTATTAACATTGCTTAAGTCGGTTCAGTTACTATCACTACCACTACTGATACCGTCACTACTGCACCGTTACTATTTTTGTTCTCAATTCATTTTCTTATTTTATATTTTGGCTTGCAGCTAACCTGAGAGGGAGGGGGTTTATCATTTATGTAAAACGGTATGATATGAAATAAAGGGAGAATGATATGACATTGACTTCACATATCAAGGGGTAAATAACTATCCCTTTAATTGAACTCTGAAAACACAGTTTTGTAAGAATTGGTAATTTTATCAAATTATACGGAAGTTCTGTAGAGCCATTAAAAACGTGTTTTGGATGCAGCCCTCGGCAGGGCCCCAAAAACAAAAAGTAGGAACAAAGGCACGGGGACTGATATGACCACAATTTATAAAAGTTCTGAGATGGAAGAAGACAGGAGGAATAGCCGCAAGGATAACCAGTAGGGGGGGGGGAAGGGTCAGGAGAAGCGGACTGCTGTAGGCAAATTGTGGTGAGGGATGAGTGGAAGGAGCTGATGAGGAAAGCTAGAGAGAAGAACTGAAAAGAGATTTCGGGCAGACCGGTGCCCTGAAAATCAAAATGGCCTTTCCCTGAAAAGGGCGGTGTTTAACACGCCCAAGAACCTGGTTGGAGAATGCATAGAAATAAACCCTCTTAAATAGGTTCCCTACTTACCTTCAGTAAGTAGACGAGACGTCACCGTGACTTCAGGCAGAAGCCATGCCTACTCTTGATGTTTTTGGATCGAACCGTGCCACCCTGATGATACGGCCCGTTTGGGTGATGAGAATGCTGGTGTTTTGGAACCGGGTGCAATGCCCCTAGTTGCTGCTATGGCCCGCCACAAATTATCAAGAGAGATGTGCTGATAATTCTCCTTGACTCTGGTGTCAATAGAACGGCCTGTCTCCCAGTAGAGACTTAAACATAATCAGAAGGATATGCTGCATACACTTGGTTTCCTCAATTCTAGGTCATCCTTCACCTACAGAAGGAAGGTACAAATTATTCTTGGCAGAAGACCGACCGATCTGATGTTATGTGTGCACAGTATCATCCTAATAACTTTGGGTGTCTTACAGACACAAGGCATGAAGACTGTACACGGTTCACAACATTTGCTGCTTGCCCCTTACTTGCTTGGTTTACTTTTTGGTTCTCAAGGTGAAGTCAGTATGTTCCTTCCATATGCTGGTAGATATCTACAAGACTAGACGGCATCCCATTTTCAAATACCGAGTTCTCCCCACTTATTAAGAAATTCAAGTTAAGGAACGAAAGGATCTGACGTAGAATATAAGAAAATTTCTTATACTTCCGGTACTGCAGAGTGACGATAGTAATAAATACCAAATCGCGTTATGCATTAAACTGTGAAAGGTTTCCCTGCCGCTCAGAAGGAGCGAAAGTACGCTGCTTTATGCAGTGCGATATTTACGGTCTCCAAACAAATACCAGGTACACAAAACACAATAAGATGGCAAAAACATATTTATATTATAGATAAACCTATATATTATAATCAAATTGTTCCCTTCAGTGCGTCACGTACCATTTTGACAACCATGGTCGCCCCTAGACAGATTTATATTATAGATGAGCCAATATATTATAAACAACTTGTCCCCTTCAATGCATCACTTTTGACAACCACAGCTGCCCCTAAGTGCATCAATGAGGTAACTGACGACTGATGTTGCAGGTCTGTTCCATCGCGTGGTGATGCTGAGCGGGTCTGTTCTCAGCCCCTGGGCCCTGGTGCAACAGCCGGACACACTTCGGGAGACAGTATTGAAGCAGATGGGTTGCCACAGCTCAGCCGATAAGGAAGACAGTGCGCCCTGCCTCAGAACCAAACCATTGTCTGCCCTGTTGGACATCCAGTTGGATACTCCCCGGTTCCTTCCCCGCTTTGGGCCGTCCATTCCACACGACGCGGATACCAGTGAACCAATCCTCACTATGGAACACGCCAACGAGGCGTTCATTAATTGCGAACTCATGCTCGGAGCGACAACAACGGAAAGTTACCTCGATTTCAACGCAGCGGACATTCAGTACGGGTTTGAAGAAGACCAAAGAAATCGGGTATTACGGACGTACATTCGAAATGCCTATGTGTATCATTTGAATGAGATATTTTCGACTGTGAGAAACGAGTATACGGACTGGGATAAACCTATTCAGCACCCCATTAACATAAGAGACTCCACCATGGAAGCCCTGAGTGACGGACACACAGTGTCTCCCTTGGTCAGGGTTGGGTACTTGCACGCAAGAAGAGGGGCGAAGACCTACTTCTTCCATTTTGGCTACCAGACAAAGGAAAGCGACTACCCACAGGTGTATATCTCATTCTGTTAGAATGTCCGTCTGTTAATTGTTATAATATTCAATTTAGAATTGAGTCCATTGCTGAAATATTTATGATCAATCAATTCAATTCATGATAATGTATATTTAACTGACGTATAGGATTCCATCAACACCAATGTGCTTAATTTTTTAAATAAACAAATCAATAATTTTTGCGGCGTTGTCTCTCCAACAGAAAATTACACGCGCCATATTTTTACGACGTTCTGTTTCGGGGGAACAGGTTAGGATGGGCGAATGATGGAATTATATATGTAGATGTCACCACGATTTAGTGTCACTATAGACGGGGTTCGGATTGATACATGAATTTATTGACCACTCATAAACACGACTCATAATTACAAGTAATTACAACGTTATCTCTGATTTACATAATTTATAAATCACTAAAACACACGCTAAGTCTTTAACACTTCTTTACTACTCGTCGTTTCGGAGAAACAGGGTTGGACGAACGCACACACAGACGGACGTTTTGGTTTTACACGTATGGAATAAGAGGGCACACATACAAGGATATTGCTCACAAAATAAAACTGGACTTATAAATCGCCTGTAATTAAGCTGTAAGACTAATAATTCTAAATGATCTGTGACCAAGACACTTCCAATTGTAGCGTTTATTTAAATGAGATAATTATGAATATTATGTACATAGGTAAAAATTTGCAAGGTAGCTGAAATAATATATATAATAGAATTATCTAGTAGAGACTGGAGAAAAATACAGAGATAGGCCAAATTTGAACCTGTATATTTCTAGAGCATCTTCATTACGCCTGGCTGTAAGAAAAGGAACGAAGTCCATTCAGGTTCGTTCAGAGAAATTAGAATCAGTATAAAAGTGCAATTGACAGGAGGTTGGAGAAAACTGCATAATGAGGAACTTCATAACTTGTACTCTTCTCCAAGTATAATTAGAATGATCAAGTCAAGGAAGATGAGGTTGGCAGGGCATGTAGTACGAATGGGGGAGACGCGGAATGCGTACAGGATATTGGTGGGAAAATCAGAAGGAAAGATACCACTACGAAGACCAAAACGTAGGTGGGTGGACAATATTAAAATGGATCTTAGAGAGATAGGATGAGATGATGTGGATTGGCTTGACCTGGCTCAGGAGAGGGACCAGTGGAGGGCTCTTGTGAACATGATAATGAACTTTGGGTCCCATAAAATGGTGGGAAATTCTTCAGTAGCTGCAGAATTCGCTGCTCCTCAGGAAGGGTTCAGCTCCATGAGTAAGTAAGTAAATAATGATATGTAACTGAAACTAAAATTAAATTCTAGCTTCTAAATTTGTGAAAGTTTTTAATACAATTTGTCTCCTGGTTCTGTTACTCAGTGGCCCTGACTGCCTGTGTAACAGTATGCATACTTGTGTAATTTATTGTAGTCACTAACCGGAGGAGCCCCTAGATAGATGCAGCCACGGACAGTATCATGTGGTCTCGCGCTCAGCCTGTCATAATTTACATAGAGTTTATGGCTTTCAAATTATCGCAGTCTCCCAGGGACATGAGCAGGCAGTTTTACAGTACAATGCTTGTTACAGCAGAACATGCGTGTTTATCCTTCCAAGCACATTAGTATTCTGCTGCCAGGAAAATAACAGAGTACAAGATAATTATTTCATTTGAGTGGAGTCCTGTTTAACATTCCTTGTACAAAATGTAATATGCAAACTTAATTTTTACACCCAAGTACAGAATGAAGATTACTCTGTTCTTGGATGTGATGCAGTACTGTTATTTAAGTCATTACCAAAATTTTGGGGTAAATTGCTACAGTCAGAAAACTTTTGCCTGAAGTTGGAAGTATCATACGCCTCCAAATCTTTAGTAACTATTTGTCAGTTTACAGGGGCACGCGGTAGCGTGGTTGGTTGAGGCACTGTACTACGAGCTAGAACGTCGCGAGTTCGAGCCCCGGTCCAGTCGTATTATGGCCCTGGGGCGACTCAGCTTTTAACAGAAATGAGTACCAGGAATCTTCCTGAGGGCTAAAGGGCGGCCGGCGCATAAGGCTGGCAACCTTACCGCCATCTGTGAACCGATTGTCTACATAATGTGGGAGCCTCAGCGTGTCACAATCCTATGGGTCTCCAAGGCCTGTTACAGGAATAGCTTTACCTCTACCTTGTCAGTTCATGTGGCATCATATCCCAGAAGACAGACGACCTCAAAGACACCGCTGTGAGAACCTGAAATATCACACTTTTTTGTAATGTCCATGAAACCCCAATGTAGCTTCAGGAGTTTTCACTGAACGATGTCCTGTAAATTATGTGAACATTATCGTCCCGCGTGCACAATACAAGCACAAACATGAAGACCACAGAGGAAAATAAATTCTCGAAACTCGCCAGATTTTATCTTCCCATTCTTCCTCTCTCTCAGAATGTTGTCTGCTGGACGTGCCACGGGTGCGCGATCTTTTGTTGCCTGGAGAAAAATTTGTAAAAGAAGGAAATGAATTTATCTGGAACAGCATCCATTTTGTTGAAATTTGGAAATGCGCCCTGATATAAATTTCTATTACATACTTTTATGCGCGTTTGTACACTTGTAGAGCGCCAAAAAATAATGTCGCGCCCGTCCCCATCCCTATTCTGGAAACAACTCCAACGGGTGCTGGAACTTCGCTGTTACTGCAGCGGCTGCTATATTTCAACTAACTCCTTAGTCAAAGTCACATTGCGACTGACGGTCAGTGAGTCAGTAAGTCTTGGTGTCGAGTCCCATCTGGGGCTCTTGACCAAATATTTATTGCTGTTTGACAGTCTTGTTTTCCTGGGGCGCCCTCTCTGACGAGAGGACGAGTCTGCCTTTTGTATATGCTGCTGGCCCTTGCCAGTGCAGTCTTTCTCGGGTCTGAGTCCCTTGTGACTCGAGACCATATTTTACTGTCTCAGATTTGAGACTTCCCTTCTCTTCGCCTCTTACGACTCGCAGGGTCACTGTGGAGTTTTCGACCCCGCCTCCACAAGGGCATGTCTATTGGCATTAATAACTTGTTAGGGCTTTTATAACCTTGGCGGTTGCTATGCAATGAACCTTCTGTTGTCACGCAGCGCTTCGAACAATTCGTTACCTTTCATCTCCTAGGAAACGCGCTTGTTTGGTCCATGGAACGGCCCACTCTTATTGCCTTGTCGCTGTGGGAGCTCTCCGTGTTTTCGTCGTAACCGTGGAGACGCATTGCAGGCTGTTATCTTCCTGTTGTGGCCGTTGCGCAGCGATGGCCGTAAGATAACACGTTACAATATTAATTTTAACTGTTTACAAATTTTATCTCCAACTTAAATGATAACAAGTATAAAACTTTTATTTACAAGTATTGTAAGTTTCCTTTTAATTCTTGATCTCTCATTGAAAATGGTCATCCTAAGATCGAAAAATATCAAGAAATGTAATATTATTTGATCAACAAAAAGGAGATAAATAATAAGTTCTCTGATGGTGATTTCTCATTTTGCGTTTATATAAAAAATTATAACTGAAAAATGAACCTTATTGAAAAATGTATGAGCCGCTTCTGAAAAACAAATTTGTACTTTAATATCGCATAAAATGTGAGCTGGGTTTGGGCGATGCAGACCGTAAGCATCTTTTAGTGTAGACGTCCAAAACCGAATTAATTCGAAATTTTCCCACTAGCTTCAAATAACAAATAGCAGGCAGAAGGACACGAACTCTCCATTTTTTTCATTTTACAAGCTTCACGATAGATTTATGTTCACTGTATTACAATGATCAAGTCAAGGTGGATAAGGTGGGCAGGGCATGTAGCACAAATGGGGAGAAGGGGAATGCGTATAGGATATTGGTGGGAAAGCCAGAAGGAAAGGGACCACTGGGAACACCAATGCGTAGGTGGGAGGACAATATTAAAATTGATCTTAGAGAGAGAGACGATGGGATGATGTGAACTGGATTGATCTGGCTCAGGATATAGACCAGTGGAGGCCTCTTGTGAACACTGTAATGAACCTTCGGGTTCCATAAAATGCTGGGGAATTCTTGAGTAGTTGCACAATTGGCGACTGCTCCAGAATGACTCAGCTCCATGAGTGAGTAAGTAAGTAAGTATTTAATTTGCTAAAGTTCTTTCATCAACTACCGAGAAAAGATCATATTTTCTACTTTTCAGAACAAAATTTCCATGTCCACACAATTCCTATTCAAGATCTTTCCATTTATAACTAATTTTCACCTCCCCCCCATCTGCCTTATGGTGTGTTGGGTTTTGCACTATTAATTACAGACTCGTTGTGGTTTAGAGACTTGGCAGCGTGCGCGGTGAGGATGTCACTTACATCCTTGGGATGCCCCTGGTTGGTGGACAACCCTTCTTCCCACAGAACTACAGCCGGCAAGACATGGGAGTTGCAGAGGCCGTTCTCAACTTCTTCACGAACTTCGCCAAAACCGGGTAAGATGGCTTTAACGTTCAAATTTTACTCGGATTAAAAGCATGCTTCAGCATATCCAAATCGTTTCGTTCATATCACTCCACATAAGAAATTACATTTATATTCCAATTTAAAGAACGCGTCATTCTACAAATGTTTCGAGTGTATATTTCAATGTTTTCTTCGAATTTTTATCAAACGCCGTTCTCAAGTGAATATAAGAGGAATATTTACATATGAATATAATTTCGTTACAGTTAATAATATAGCAATAAAAATACAAATATTTCTGCTACTTCTTCCTTCTCAAACTGATATCTGAAGTTTCTAAGATCAACTTCCAACAACGGGCAGCGAGTAAAAATATTATACTTTTGAATATGATCTGTCGTCTTGTCTTTATCTTGTCTTCCTACTCAGCTGGACCCAATCAGTAGAGCTAGTCCCTGTCTCCGGAGACACCTGAAGACACCTGTATTTTGTAATGTAAGCCGGGTTCGTGATTTCGAATCCCACACAAGGCATGGATATTTGGTGTGTGTATGTGATCATTCTGTGTTTGAGTTGTCCTGTGTTTAGACAGAGGCCCTACTACAGGCTGATCACTCATCCAAGGAGTCCTACCGTATATAAAATAATGAAAATGCGGAAATGACCTCGACACCGTTAGGTATGAGACGAACTGATTAAGTATCTAAGTATTATCTTCTTATTGCTAGTGGGGTGGGACTAAGTCCCTTGCACTGCGGCCACTTCTGGCCTATTGTACCAGCCCCAGATGATAGGTGAGGGTGATTGTGGAGCAATTGGTGGAATAAAGGTTGGCAGGGGAAATCGAAGTACTCTGATAAAACCTGCTCCAGCGCCACTTTGTCCACCACAAATCCAACTTGACCAGACCCGAGATAGAACCCGGGTCACGGCGGTGGGAAGCCAGCGACTAACCGCTTGAGCTATGGCGCGGCCGCTCGTACCTAAATACGTAAACGTGAAGGGAGACAAACCAACTACTTCCCTATTTACAGGGCTGATGAAGCACAATATTCTGCAGTGGATCTAAACTTGATCTAACCGGTAGTTATTTTACTGTCTAATGCTTCTCATTTTCTCTGCTGTCCCACTAACATACAAATCAGAAATATCATGCATCATACGCGTATCACAAGAAGTTTTGTCACTTTATAATCACCACGCGTATTTATCATAGTCAATTTCTTGGATAACAGGAACGGATTCCTAGTATTTCCATTATGCAGAAACACTCCGCCTTCAGATTTATCTGCAGTGAATCTATGAATAAGCATAACTCATCCACTTTGTATTCAAGTCCCAAAATCTTCCTATGTTTATTAACATTATTCACAAATATTAAATCACCACTCATGCAGGAAAAATGTCAGATATTTCAGGCCTTTACAAATCAAATTCACCATGGACCTTAGTCTAGAAGGGGCCGCCCTTGATATCTGGAACCCAGTCAACTCGACATATTTTTTCTATAAATTAAGATTTTAACTCTGTAATTTGCCTCTTATTTTGAAGTAAATTCAGGCGTCATTTGTGTGGAGAACATACACTGAAACATTGCAATGGACTCACCTTTTACCTTCAAAATCATTCATCAGGTGCTTCGCGCACTCTTTCACAACGAAATCAGAATTGTAGCTTTCAAAAGATTCTGGTTGATGATGAAACAAAAACACTTGTAATATTTTTGTGAACTGTGTATAAAAATATATACTTAAATTTTCTTTAAGGAGGAAATTATTTTTCTGCAATTAATTAAATTTAAAAAATTGCCTTGCAGTCTGAGGCAGTTTCGAATCATAATCGGGGTATGAACGGAAATCCACGACTTTGTGTGTCCTCTTGTGATTTCCTGTACAGACTGAGGCCTTGCGCTGGACTACCCCTATCAACCTATACGTCATAATCCACTCAGCTTGACTGAAACACGGTTCCTTTATTCGGTGCTTCTCATTTTATTGAAAACAAAAATGAACCAACCTTATATCCGTACGAAATATGTATTTATTATTCATAACACAAGGAGGCTGGCTTTGTTTCACTCAAAGCTGAATATAGTTTACTCGGGATTACTGGATTTTTGGACTCCGCCCATCGTCCAGTAGCACAATCAGTTGATTTATATAGTCCAAGAACCCAGTAATTTCAGTCAGAACCCTTTAGAATCTGCATTATACGAGTAAATTACTGTTAATGCTTCGCTTTCAAAGTAGATCAACCCACTCCTACGTTCCTTGTCTGAGCATTTCTCCATCTTACTTGATTTCAAAAGTCAGTACAGTACATATTGTAGTGTGGAGTGGACAAGCTAAATCTGAGACATGAACAGCTTGATATAACTCGGGATGGATAACAAATTACGAAACCTCATGACGCAAGGTACGCGGGTTCAAAAACCCGGCGGAGGTCGTGGAATTTTTAAGGGCGGAAAAATTCAGGGAACAAGTCCTCCGGGAGGGACTTTAAGCCGTGGGTCCCGTGTCGTAGATTTACGGCACGTAAAAGAACTTCATCTCTCTAGGAGACCTCTGAGCAAAATTAGGCCAAGTTTCCCGCCCAACTAGTTTCCAATTCCTCCAGTAGATGGGGGAAGTATCAGGTACCACTGCCAGAGGAGGGGGGACCTCTCTGACAGAACGGGACTAAAGTATTAGATACCACTGCCAAGTAGAGGGTAGAAACCTTGCTGGCAGAAAGGGACTAGGAACCCCTGCCAGAGGAGGGACGACCTCGCGGACAGAAGGGGACTAACTATTATATACCACTGCCAGTAAGAGGTTGGAACCTCGCTGGCAGAAAGGGACTGATAGTAAGCACCAGTACCGGTAGGGTATGGAGACAGTAGAAATTAAAGGGGGACGCACAATGGACCAGTAACCGGTCTAAGTGCATGGGGAAACCCACCCCCTCAATACGGAAGAAATTACGAATTGTAACAGGCCATTAAATATAATATCTGACATCTGGGGAAAAAACTGATGCGAATTTCTTCAGATTAATAATCATCAGACTGCAAACCCGTCACAATTTTACGGAATGTCTAATGTAATCACCGAATGTCGGATGTTCTGGAGGTTTGTCATGCAAATATTATTTTAAAACAAATTAATTAAATTCAAACTCCATTATTGTTGGCGCTTAGTACACCATATAAAGTAGGACATAAGGAACCGATTTGCAGAGGCAAGTTATTAATAAAATTTTTCACATCGCTTGAAGTCTTCCAGGAGAAACAGAGCCACGTAAACTACGACAGATTCTATTAGTGTAGGTGCTGGAAATAGGACCCGCATTCGTTAGTGTTATCAGGATACACTTCGAGTCACAACGCAGTACGATTCCTAATGTGTAAATCTGTCCATGTAGCCTGATAATGCCTACTGTTACTTTAACAGAGTTCCAATCAGTTGTTCTCAAATGAAATGCCGAACGCAATTTATGGAATATTCTTAACAGGCAGACAATCGTCTTTGGGTGAGGTCTGATGTATGTGTCGTAAAGCAGTGTACACAGAAGACATTGGAACACTATCATAAGACTTATCTATCTGTCTGCATGTCTCTCTATCTATTTATCTATCAATGCCTCTATAGTCCGTTGTTGGACCTTGATCGCTTTTTCAGATTCTTACTCTTACACAGTAGGTATAACTCCTTGGACGGGGGATCAGCCTCTTGCAAGTTCGCAACCTACACACAGAGCAACATAAACACAGATATGCATGCTGGATTCGAACCCACGATCCCGGTGTTTGAGAGGCCGAAGACAGTTCATGCTTTAGACCGCGCAGCCACTGTGATCAGCTCACAATCAGATCAAAATGTACAAATAAATCGTGAAACTAGAAAAGTAATTTCTTACATATATACATACATTTTTACAGACTGGCAAAGTAATTTCCCCTTACCTTCGTTATGTGGCTATTTAATTATGAGGGATATTTTTTTTAATAATATCTTAATTCTAATTCGAATCATACCTTCAATAACATACATGGAATCCCCATTGTAACGATAAGTTTTTCAGTGCTATTTTGAGGAAATAATAGCGTTTTTATGAGAATAAAAAGACCCCCATAAAGAATATCTCCTTACGAAATATGGCAGAAATTTGAAAGCAAGCGATTCAGGTGCTTAACCCTGCATTCTAAAGTGTTATATTCCTCGTGGAGAGCGTCCCTTATCTCCGTTGGCTTCCTGCTTACAGGAGAATGTAAAGCCTTCTCTCAGTTTGCGATGAACCTCACACTACCCTGGGGCATAAACATATGCAAATATTACCAGAAGATCAGAACACATCAAAACCAAGCTAACTTAAATTAACGCTATGCAATCAAACCTCACGTTGGACGAAATATGTATGAAGTGATAGAAAGGAAAGTATACCACCGACATTAAGGGAGGAACATAGACTGAGGGTGTTTGAGAACGGGGTACTGAGGTGAATATTTGGACCGAAGAGTGATGACGTGACAGGAGGTTGGAGAAAACTGCATAATGAGGAGCATCATAACTTGTACTCTTCTCCAAGTATAATTAGAGCTATCAAGTCAAGGAGGATGAGGTGGGTAGGGCATGTAGCACGGCTGGGGAGAAAAGAAATGCTTTAGGATATTGGTGGAAAAGCCACAAGGAAAGAACCACTGGGAAGATCAAGGCGTAGGTGGGTGGACAATATTAAAATGGATCTTAGAGAGATAGAATGGGGTGGTAGTGACTGGATTGGCGTAGCTTAGGATAGGGACCAGTGGAGGGTTCGTGTGAACACGGTAGTGAAAGTTCGGGTTCCATAAAATGCTGGGAAATTCTTCAGTAGCTGCAGATTTGACGGCTCTTCAAGAAGGGCTCAGCTCTATGTAGTTAGTTAATGCACCGAAAATAAAGAAACCCGTCTTGGTCGCTGCTGACAGAAGGAAGCTGCGATGAAGACATATTGTCTGGTGAATGAAGTTGTGTGAAACTAGGCGAAGTTAAAGCATGGATTTATGGGAAAT